TGTGCTGCCCTTGTTATTGGGACTAATGGCATATGAAAACTAGGGCTGACACACACAGATACAGACACAAATTACTTACACATGCTGTACACACACTCTTTTAATGTTAAATGGAAACAAACCAAATGAGCAAGCAGCAGCCATATCTTTGACCTTGACTTGCTGAGGTGTGTATGCACATGTGTTTGACTAGGAGGGGCGTGGAGTGTGTGTGTTTTCAATTGATCTGTTGATGTCACTTGGAGCAGAAAGAGTGGAGCAGCCTCCCATGGCGTCGGGCAATCGATCAGTGTTCAACCTCTTTTCGAGAGAAAATAACGCCAAGAAATCTTGTTTCCATGAATGCTCAATCACTCCCACGACGACTAAAAAAGATGAAGAAATAACAGGCCTATTTTCACCCCCACCTCCCCACTGTTTGTGCAGTGTCTGTGGTGCTTAAAAATAAGTGGCGATTAGAGATCTGGTAGGACATTTACATGAAGAGGGGTTGACAGCATGCTTGTATAATTGGCCTTAAAATCCTGATTGGATTGGCAGTCACTCATCAAAAGTGCTATTGGTCCGTCGACAGGAAGCGACGGGGAAGGAGACGGGGAGCATGGGTGCCAATCATCGCCCAACAGCTGCCCTCCTCCGAGACATGGCCTATAAAAACAGCCTGAGATGGAGACACATACACACACAAGCTATAATGTCGATGCATCATCAGGTCATCGTTCTATTCTCGTCTCTGCAGGAGAGGGGCTGCTGAACACCATCGCAACGCAATTATTTGGCTTTGGGAATCAATAGTGGAGAAGACTAAACCTTGCTGCCATGCATGACCAGAGGGAGGGAGTCACAGGTGGCTCTTTCTTCCCCCTCCATTTCCCTTCATCCCTTCCATCTCCTCTAACTCCTGTAAGGTGCCAGTGGGAGTGACAACAAGGCAACAACAGCTGCCAAACTGTTGATAGAGAGAGACAGAGTGAGAGTGAGAGAGAGAGAGAGAGAGAGAGAGAGAGAGAGAGAGAGAGAGAGAGAGAGAGAGAGAGAGAGAGGAGGTACCAAGGGATACCGACAAGGGCAAGAGACAAAATAGGAGCAGCTGTGAGTGGCCAAAACAGCTGATCAAGCACTGATGAGTTCAACTTCCCACTGTGTAAAAGGAAATCAGAGAGGCCTCCGTTCAACAGTAGACATTTTTGATTGACATTGACCATAAACCTATGCAATTGGTTACTGAGCTGAGACCCAGTAAATAACAGGCTTCAGACAACCACAGCCACAGCGGCAAAGACCTGACTTCTACTAAGTACAATGCAGACTTCTCGTGGTTTAGGCTTAAAAGTCTTCGTGGGCAGTGTAAGTCTGATGTGTTAACGGAGCTCAAGCCCTAAGTCTTACACAGCACCTGTGGCCTCATTCCTTACTGCTCACATACTGGCTGAATGGCAGACTGACACCATGTTAAGACTAGAGCAATGTCAGTTGGTGTGTGTGTGTGTGTGTGTGTGTGTGTGTGTGTGCTGGTGTCGTGTTTCAGACAAGGTGGGCAGCCACACACAGAACAGGGTACAGACAGTCTGCGAGCTGTTTTGAGCGCTGGCTCCTTATTAAGCTGCCACTCCGCTGTACATCCAGCCTGACTGACCCCAATATCTCTGCCTCCATGTTAAGCAGCAGTGGATAATTACTATGCTAGCTTCAATTGTATGAGATAATTCAACCAATTAAGACTTTTTTCCCCTGATTTGCCTCAAAGCACTTGAATACAATAACCACAGCATGTTAACAAGAGTAGAAAACCTTCTCTCAGATTTCACTGTCTGGCTAAGAGCTCAAAACTCCCCCCAACCAAAGGTAATACCATCCAGGTGAACCCCCTCTTCTCTTCCTCTCTTCCATTAACCTTTCGTGCCCTCCGTACCCTCGGGACCGATCCTGTTCACAGCTGTGTGTGGGTGTCACTCACTTCAGATAGCCGCAGCCCGGGGGCCATTAGCACACAGGGCTGTCATTTCCAGTGGGAGAGCAGGGCTCAGGCTGTCCTGGTGCTCTGACAGGTCTGCTGAGCTCAGGTGAGTGAGACCCTCTCTGCATGCTGATGGACGCGCCGGAGAGCTCCAGGCTCAACAAGGCTTGTTTTTAACGTAACCTGACTGACAGCTATGAACACCTCATCCTCTTACACAGAGAGCTGAGACCTCAGCTCCTCCAGCAATAATGACACTCGTGCGCGCCACACACACACACACACACACACACACACACACATGCACAATAAAAATGAACACATACCTCAAGTCAATTTGTGTTGTGTAAGCGGCTTTTGAAAGGCTTGGTGTTGCCAAATAACAAAAATAACTGGTGCTGTGGAGGCTGAGCTCACCACAGGGTATTTTCCATGTGTTGTCCTTTAGCATGAAAACGCCAGTTTACACCACTGCACTGCAAAAAGCATTCATCTCACCATTCAGTCTCAAGACATATGTTTCTTATTTTCCATGTCAATGGGGGTGTGATCATCAATATCTTAAAACAAGCTAGGGAGAGGCACATTCCTGTACCAGATAATAACACACTAAACTAAATAAAACTTCTCTTTCATTGGAAACAGTTACATTACCTAATTCCACTCACTGATAGTTGGCTTATTCTAAGAAAATCACATTTTACAAGTCAAAAATAGACCAAGCAGACATGTTTTGGAGTGGAACAATCAAAATGTTAACACTATAGCAAGACTAAGTTCTGCTCTTGTGTTCAGTCAGGCTAGTATTTCCCAAAAGCAAACAACTTGTCAGTAACTTCTAGATATGGGAAATTTTTCATTCCAGTAGTTCTGATCAAGAGCCAAAGAAAAGGGTCAAAGCTATCCTTTGCTCAAACTGAACCAGAACAGAGTTCATAAAGTGATTCTGACTCAGAGTGTTTTTGTTCTGCAAGTTGGAGCCTTCAGCGTGTGGTCAGTGTTTTCTAAAAGTGTGAGGGTGACCTGGCAGCAGAGAGAGAGAGAGAGAGAGAGAGAGAGAGAGAGAGAGAGAGAGAGAGAGAGAGAGAGAGAGAGAGAGAGAGAGGGAAAAAAAGCCTCACAACGCCCACAACCAGTAAAACACCTACGTTTGCACTTTGCATTCCCAGGTGGACGAACGCTGCCAGGACAGAGGGAGCGAGGAAGGAGAGGAGGCAGAGCCGGCCTGGCCTGCAGGTGCTCACAGAGGCAGGGATTGTTCCCTCTGGAGGCGAAAGTGGGGGGTTCGGGAAACCGGAAGGGACATGTGCATATTGTAAACATATACACACACACACTGAGACTCTCCCTTCCAGCACCCTGATTACGTCAACCTCCTAACCTCTTCTTCACACCTAGGCTCCCTGCCTGCGCCGACCCGCTCTCACAGCTCAAGGCCCGGACACCCAGCATTCCTCAGGCCGGTGTGAGAAAGAGGTCGCCTGGGGATCAGGGGCCAAGTGGAGTCTGAACCATAACAGGCCAGCACAGGCCGGGCAAACCAAGCACACAGCAGCCCTGATTTTAGCCTGGCCAGCTGGTTGTCTCTCAGAGACCTGCAAGTGCAGACGGTACAGAGGGCAAGTCAGCTACACACGCCACTCTACTAACATACTGTGTGTGTTTAAGTGTGTGGGCCTCTGCCAGTGTGGCTGTGTGCCTAACCCAAATAATGAGCCAATGCAAACAGAATTAAGAGTCAAACACCCTTCACACTTTCAGTTTCCTGTTTCTTGTTGAGATTTCATATATCTCATACATAACCTGGAAAGTTTGTTTTCACAAATTCAGGCACAAAAAAACGGATAAAACGTGTTTGATTCTATATAAAGACCATTATCAGTCCGTTGAGGCATCTTATGGAAAAGTGCTTTGAAACACCAGACAACAAAAGCACAAAAAATAAAAATAAAGGAGAAAAGTGTGTAAAGGGGAGAAAATTTACTTCTTCATACTAGAGTGAAAATGGGAGATAATGAGATGCGGAAATGATGAAATGGCTTATTCTGAAAAGCCAACAGAAATTACTAATTGCTTTTTCCTGGTAGATATTTTTGTCCTCAACACACCGTTCAGTTGACCTAAAGTTAGTCTAAGAACATCAAGTGAAAGAGGAAAACACTGGGCTGTATTCTTTCCCCCTCAAACTCAAACATGCCTGCTCGAAACTCAATGGCACTTTGTGCGCAAGTTTGTTGGTGTTTGAGTGAGTTTGAGGGTGCATGAAGACAAGACTGGGTCCTGTCCTCCAATGAGAGGGCTTTGCAAGGTATCTCCCTAAAAGGTGAATTCATTGGGGTCTAGAGTAGAACAGGAAACCCTGCCCTGAGCCAGAGTCCTCAGACGCTCTGGGTACATGCGAGCAGGCTCTCAGGAGAACACCCTGCCTGGCTCCCGTCTGTGTTTTCCTTTCTATTGACCTGCCCTGCTGCTGCTGCTGCTGCTGCTGCTGCTGCTGCTGTAAGGAAATCTCACTCAAATCTCCAAATCACTGCAGAATTTCACATGCAGATATAAATAAATTCTTGCAAAAATTGAGGCAGTGCTTTTATCTTCTAGTTTTGTAAGTGAGCGTGACCAAGAAGAATCTATTTCTGTTTTGGGTTTGCAGACTTAAATAGATTAGAGAAGAAGTGGAGCCCATTTTGATCAGCTTTCTTGAGAAAAAAATGAAATGGTTTCTATTTAAATCCTACGTAAGTAGGAGTAAGTAAGTAAATCATTTGTGGCTTGATGATCTAAATACACCTTTAAATTGTGCTCTCAATATCTCTACTGTAGAAAGAACCCTTTTATTGTTTGTGCATTGTTGCTATTAACTGGGACTTAGCTTGTTTACCAGAAGACAAGAAGCAGATTGGGATCAGAGGCTGTTCCATCCAATTTAGCTAACACAATACAAAATATCGCAGCTACACAATAATTAACCTCATCATGCGGAGAATGTTTAGGTGTTGAGCTAAGATTTTTTTTTTTTGTAATTATAAGATTAAAGGAGACTCACCTGTTTGCAACAAGCCGATGCCACTGTCTGATACACCGTAATGCCGCTGGATGTCAAGCAGAACACCTGCAAACAGGAGAAGGGGGAAAACATAAATGTGGTTTCAAGACATAATAATAATCATAATCACAGGTATTGAAACGCTGAACTCTATTTGACTTGACAGCTAAATTAATTTGGGCTTTATGCTAATCTTCTGTGGCTTGTGATTATTGCTGGATAAGATGGATAGACAGTACTCAAAGGCTATCATTCACTTAACATCCCTGAAGAGCAATATCCCTGATAAGTGCTCTCTTGGCTGCCGTACAGTGCTAAACTTAAGTAAATGGCTGCAAAGACTTTAACTGCAGGGTGTTATATATGAAACATTTCTGGTGTTAAATCACTAAACACGGCTACCGTAAAAAAAAAACATTTTTCGTAACACACACACACGCTTTCTCCACCATTAGCTTCCCTCTGGCTCATGTAAACAGCTCTGGGGAGCAGCTTCGGCACATTCACTGGAGTTGATTTTGGCTTTATCAGATGACACTGCAACCGACTGTGTGAGGTCAATATTTCTGGTGGCTCTCATCAGTCACACAGACATACAGCAGCACCATAACATCGCTCCACTGCGAGAAACCACAAGGTCTTTGAAGTTGTCTTGATCCTGTTACTGTAACCCAAGAGCAGTTATGCTGGAATGGAGTAAACTCACATAGTGTGCATTGCTCTAATGCCTTAATGAAGTGAATTGCACCTGGCGCTTGGCCAGAGGTAGGACAAGGGAACGGCTCAATATCTGCTCATCACAACATTATGACTGGTTTGTGTTCGGTGTAGCGAGCGTGTAAAGCATGCACAAGAAATCTCATAAACATTTTAACACATCATAAACATCAGAAGATGAAGATGAAGCAGAAGATCAGAGGGTGATGAATTAGGGCTAAAGAAATCCCTTTATGGCTAACATACACTTTTAAGCACCAGTAAACAGGAAGCAACAAGTCTCATCAAATTAATTCTGCTCCTCTTGAGACCACCAGCTTGGAAAGGTTCAAAGTCTTATTTTCTAACTGCAAAAGAGAAAAGAATTAATGCATCTCTATCCCAGAAATCCTGGCAGTCCAGATGCAACGTAGTGTGCTTGGTAGTGCTAGCTGACTCTCTGTGAAACTGGCAGGCTGGTCCTAGGGATTGCAACACAGCTCATGAAAATGGAACAGCGGCATGACTAACATTTTAAAAAGCTGGCTGCCTCTGATCTGTCTGCTCCTCTCCTCTGAGCACAGCAGACCAGCGTAACCTAGCATAACCTGACCTCTAGACTAGACTAGTGCACCTGAGTCTCTGTAACTTTCAGAAGTAACTCATGCATAATGTCCTTGTCATCATCTCTGGGACTTTGCCTTGGAGGGCAATGAGGAAGATCACAGTCATGCCAGCAAACAACTGCACCCGACATAATAGATACTGGTGGTTCTGCTGTCCTCGGCATTGCCTCAACTGGCTTGTCTATTTGTCAACAGAGAGACGCAGCATGTTCCAAAGGCGGTGCGATGCAGAGGCAGGTGCAGGTTGGACTGTGACAGGGAGCAGCAACATACGTCAGATTCCTGTCATATGAGTCAAACCACCTGCTCACATTCTCACACTGCAGGCAGCATTCTTGCTCAAGCGCTACACTCACAACTCCTCACCTTGTTTCTTTTCCGTAATGATGAGGCTTAAAAAGGTGCCGGTTTTCACCCAGTTTCATTGAAACCCACAGTTCAGTTAATCAATAATAATAGGGAGGATTTGAATTTCTTAAATTGGCATTCCCTAAGAACACATACTTTTAGTTGCACCATCATTTCTGCTTTAACGTGTGGTAACTATTTCTGGTTAGCACACAATGTGGCAATCATGCAGAAACTGCCTCAAGGCAGGTGAGACTCAATTCACATTTCTAGTCAGGTAAATCTCAGTGACTGATGGAAGAATTCAGATCACATTTTTAAGCACCTCAGGATTTAGTTAATTCTCTTGTCCAAAGAGACTCAAAATAGAAAAGCAGGCAGGGGTCTGCTGAACTGATCTTCCTCCCTTCACTCACACGCAAACTTGAAACCACTTATAATCCTAAAACACACCAGGTTGTCATCCCTACATGGCCTTGGCAGACAGGTCGGCAGTGACAGCGACTCTGCCCCCCTGTCAAGCCTGTCAAACAGCGACAGCAGTGTTTAACAGTGTACAGTACAACTGCAGCTGCACTCTAATTAGCCTGGAAGAAGTGCACCCACACACACACACACACACACACACACACACATACATTGACACATACACACAGCCTGCTGGGAGGGGGATTCCTACGCCAGATGGTGGAGCGTCCCTCCTGGACAGTCTGCATTTGTCTGAGCCACACCCGTCTACAATTACCAGACAATTAATAAAGGTAGAGTTGGCAAAATGTTATTTTACTGTAAGATTAGGAAACCAGAGCTGTTGATGTTAAATGATGTTAAAGCCAGTGTGGGACAAAGTCCTGCTGTGAGAAGATTATATCTGTTAAGAACATGAAAATATTGTACGAGAAGTTCATATGATATAAATAACATGCTTTATTCCAGCAGCTAATGTGTATATCAATTTAAATAAGTGGTGGAAGTCAGTGTTTATTGTGCTGGATTCAAGTGCAATGAGCTGTGTAATGCACTGTGCTAATCTGTAAGGGATTACAGAGAGCCAGCAGTTCTGTGTTTGTGTAGCAGCCTATCACTGCTATCATCTCTACTCCCAATGAGGCCTTTTAATGCCTGGCAATCACACTGTCCCCTTGATTTCTCTTTCTTCCTGTTTTGCTTGGTCTCCCCTACATTTCCCCTTCTGCAGCCTTTAAGTTGTGTCTCTTTTATTTTCCCTTTGTCTCTTTTTTTTACCTTGGTCAACCTGAGATTAATGTTTTTGGACTTCTGTAACAACCATGACTTATTAAGACAAAGGGATTCAGTAACGTATCTGATGATGAGGTACCACAGCCCTCGTCCAAGCTGGCAGCGCCCAGTTTAGTTGCCATGGCAATGACGTACGGGCACTCAAAGAGATAAAGGTCAAGAGACCACAAAGGAACTCGGCTTTCCAAGCTTTCTAATACTCGCATCCACTTTGTGTTTCATTTCACAACGCAGCATTTGGTAACATGTCCCTAAATATTATTATATATACCAGAAGTACGACACCATAGCCACACTGAAAAGAGGGCTATTTCACATTATAGCTACATGTCAGGTCACCACTGTGGTTGTGGCAACAGTGCAAATATAACCCAACGGATCCATTTAACTGAACAACATTAATTAGTTTCTCAAGTCTCAGGCCTCCAGGGGTTTGTGTTCATCTGAGCGTGATGCCAGGCAAGAAACATTGCAGGAATGTGGATCTTCCTGACAGCACACAACAATAACACCAGATACTTCCATTTTCAATTCAAGGTAACAGGAAACACAGCAAAGCACACGCACTTTGTAGGCCACTCCCTCTGACACACACACAGTACACAGTACACTCCTTGAGTTTACCTTCATACCAAATAAACATAACGAATAAGCATAAAAGAAGTGGGCCGCAAGTTCATAATGTTTTGTCATTTATTTAACATTCTGACTTTGAATTACACACCTGCACTTGAGTCCATTTGTAACAGAGCAATCCAGAGCCACGTTTATGTATTCTTTGACACTTAAGGACCCCTTTCATGAATTTATTGTGATGCTGAACTGTACATACTAAATGCTCCCTGCAGTCAAAACACAGAGTTGACACAGAGTCTGGGGCCAGTTTGGAGCTGACACTTATTCCACCCTCTCATAAAGTCCGCCTTTATGGCCACTTTTTTTAAGTGTAGGTTTAGAAAAAATGACTCAAATTGGTGAATGTTAACATGCCACAAAAGCTGCATTTAGAGCAGTGAATGGTGAGCGATCATTCTTCAATATGAATAGTACTTTCTTTCAGTCTTTGCCGTTTCCATTAATGAGGCTACCAGTAGGCTGTTCACTAACTGTACAAGCTAGGAGACATGAATTAATATAGATCAATGCAGCTCCAGATAAACATATATTTTAGCACCATGTTTTCAAAAAAAACCAAACACATCTGAACTTTGACTTCAAATTACATGCAACGCCACAGAGGATTCTTCAGTTAATACAACATGATAGTGTGATACAGCGTGATTTAAATGAGGATACAGCATGCTGTTTTTGCAAGGCCAGCTTTCGTGCAGTGACGCACGCTGCCAGCATTACTCCTCTGGGACCACCATACACTCACAAATACACCATAAGTGAACACACACACACCCACACACACCGCACCCCATGTAGCCATACACAGATATGCACACACAGAGCTCCTTCAGCTTGGAGAGGACAGATTTCATACCAAATCCCCAACAGAGACTTAAGGATCTCCAGCCCCTCTTGGTTCTATTTCTGCGCGGAGAAACTAGGCTAAGAGGAAGGAGAGAATAGCGGCCCAATTTAACAGTGGCGAGTGTCGGAGAGACACAGAGAGAGAGAGACGGAGATAGAGGAGAGGAGTCATGAAGAGCAAAGAAATAGGTGATGGCTACAGTCTGGGTTGGATAAATCTTGTAAACCATATGTTTCCATTGTTTATATATATAGTATATGTGTGTGTGTTCCCCTTTCCCCTGGTTTTCCTGCGTGTGTGTCTGAGTGAGAGGGAGCCAATGGATGGAAGTCATTCATTCTGGCCAGAGTGTGACGGGCAGCGGTGAACCGCTCTGCTGATGTGGCCAGATCTTTCCCGTTCATTCCTGCAAAGGGGTGATCCCTTTTCATGTGTCAACCCCATCAGTATAAATAGTCTGGGAAAGGAAGAACAGGGGGGGATATAATGAGTGAGGAGAGGTGCATCTTTTCTGGTTGTTCTTGTAACCAATTTTTGGATTTGAGCATGTGAGAGACAGTACGAGACAGCAGGAGGAGAGAGCAACACAGTGCAGAGACAGGCCGGGGTGCAGAGTGTCTCAGACTGCAGCGAGGAGAAAGCTGACCACAAATATG